ACATACACGTACACACACAAACTCACAGGCACACACACACGCACACCCACCCACACACGCACACACACAAACTCACAGGCACACACACACGCACACACAAACAGTGGCGAGAGGCCAGCTATCCGCTCAAAAACGGCGACCTCCTACGCGTCTACACCGTCTGCCACGTGACATCGGCTAGCGTCACCAACTGGCTGGTAATGCCAGCTATAGCTAGGAACGAAGCTAATCGGCTAAGCATTGAGATGAGGTTCACCATGAGGAGGTGTTTAAAGTATCCGGAGCCTGACCGTATTCAACAGTGCAAGGAATCCTTCCAGCTCTATTACAGAGAGGTGGAACATGGTGAGGATGATGAAGAAGAAGATGACGGTGGTGGTGGTGGTAATCCTGGTTATGATGATGGTGCTGGTGGTGATGATGGTGGCGGTGTGAAGGAAGGAGAGAGGAGAAGAAAGAAGCAAACCGGGTTTGATGAGAAGTTGTTCACCTTTAAGGAAGTAATAGCCGGTGAGTATCATTTATGTTGATGACGTTGCAACAAAATGATATCATAACGCTGATATAATGATACTAAAATGATATCATAACGCTGATAAATGATACTAATATGATAAAATAATATCATAACGCTGATACAATGATACTAATATAATAAAATGATATCAAAACCTTGATATAATGATACATATCAAAGATACGTATGGTGATGTATGGCATTATTATGCGATGTAATGATACTATATCTGTGATATAATGATAAATATTAACGATGAAATATAAATAATATCTAGGTAGTGATACTGTGATGATAATAATATGATGAAATTATATCAAAATGATGATGATATAGTGATAATGATATATCTTCTCAATTTATTTCTGCTTCGCGTGTTTTACAATTTAGAAATTTCAAAAAATGGAAGATATAACTTCAAATAACTATCATGATATTTATTATTATTATAGTTTATGATATTGTATTGTATTTTATTAACAGCCTGTATGTATTGAATTGTATTGTATTTTATATATTGTATGCATTGTATTGAATTGTATGTATTGTAATGTATGTATGTTTGTATCGCATTGCATTGAATTGTATAGTGTTGTTTTTTATGTATAGTATTGTATTGTATTGTATTGTATATTATATACAATACAAACATAAAAATGTTTGTATTGTATTATATTGTATTGCATTGTATGTACAGCCTGTATGTATTGAATTGTATTGCATGTTTTGTATGTATTGTATTGTGTTGTATTGTATATATTGTATGTATGTTTTGTAACGAATTGTATGTATGTTTGTATCATCTCGTGATATATTGTTTTGTATTGTATTGTGTTGTATTGCATTGTATTGTATGTTTAGCATGCTATAAATTTTCCTAAAAAACTCCACCCTCATAGCCCGGCAGACGTTCACAACTAACACCGAAGAACTAATAAACATAGAAACAGAAACCATCCCTACTCAAAAGCACGGAATCCAATTTGCCTTCAAAGATGTCGGCGCTTGTCTAAGCCTAATTTCCGTCAGAGTTTTCTTCGAAATTTGTCCTACCCATGTCGAAAATTTGGCCATTTTTAACCAAATTCCGACCGGCAAAGACCTAAGTTCGATTGTCTTGACATTGGGTGAGTGTGTGGCAAATAGCAGAGAGGGTGGGCAACGGCCGTCCCTATTGTGTAAGGGTGACGGGAGGTGGTACCATCATTCGGGGGGGTGCCTGTGCGAGAGAGGGTATGAAGAGGTCGAAAATCGGACTGCTTGTGTAGGTAGGTGTGTGGATTTTTTTGGAATTAGATTTATTTTTGTTTATAAATTTTTAATTTTATGGTGAAACTTATTTATTCGAGTAATTTTTTAATAAAGTTAACATCGTCATGGTTGAGTAGAAGTTATTTTTAATTTTTTGTTAATTAATTAACTAATTACATAAGTAATTAGACGTCTCTAAATAATGAAATGTCTAATTAATTTAATAAATAATTAATTGTTTGATTAACTAATTGACTAACTAAAATTATATTTCACCATTTCATTATAGCCTGTCTTAAAAACCACTACAAATCGTCAATTGGTTAGTGAAATGATTTTTAAAAATAAAAAATTTGGGAAAAAAACTTTTTGGCCTAAGTGGTGGATCGCGAATTTAGCAATCGAAATGGGGATGATCATTTTTAAAATAAAAAAAGTATGACAATTTTTTGATAGTTGTAGTAGTAGTAGTAGTAGAAGTAGCGGCAGCAGTAGTAGTAGAAGTAGCAGCAGCAGCAGTAGTAGTAGTAGCAATAATACTGTTCTGGAGGTTATCCAGAGAGCGTGATGTCAGACAGGCTAGTACAGCTGATTTGTTGATTGATTGTGCCTCAACAAGTTCATTTGGTAATGGGTTCCAAGTATTTGCGACTCTATTGAATAAGAAATTCTCTCTGCCTCTATGTCTTGGTAATTCTTTAAAATATTTCAAACTGTAACCTCGCGTTTTGG